TCTTATTTTTGGTTTTATATTGAAAAACGAATGAACGAAATGATACACAGATTGACAATGAACACTCGTATTGATCACAGACTCTTGAAAATTATTAGTTTAAATCCAGTTTGTGTTTTTTGTTGCGTTTTAAAACTTATTTGTCTGTGTTTGCTAATGTGTCACCTCAGCACACCCCCAGCGCTAATCCTAATGGCTCAGCGTTGTTGCCCAGTTTCACATCATACACTGCCCGTTGAAATATTTAAGATAACAATAGTCCGATGTCCTGAATTGCATTATTGATTTTCACTACAATGCTAAAGTGCTTCCTTTTATACACTGGACGTCGTGTGGGCAGTGCTTTAGCTCGTTTTAGATAATGCGTTATTAGAGCGACCGTTTTCAAAGTTCAGAACCTGTCCAGAAAACACTATTTTACATAACTGGAAAATAGGAAAGTGAATTTAATCTCCGCTTTCAAATTGAGCCCCGGGTTTGTTTTAAAAAGCCCATATCACGCTATTTTCTGATGTTATAATGTGGTTTCCTCATCACAAACAGACCTGGAGTTGTGTTTTGTTTCTTTCACACATGTTTAACGCACAAATCCTTCATATTTAGGCTCTTCTTTCAAACAAAAAACACTCTGTTCCACCTTCTGATGTCATGTGGTAATACAGAATGTGCTCCACTGTGTTTTCAAAACTCCATACAATGTCACTAGAATCAGTTGGATGATTTCAAATTTGTGTATCATTTGTTCATTTGTTTTTTCAATATAAAATCAAAAATTTTCTTCATTATTTAGCTCCAAAACCAAAATGAAAAAATTTATAATAATTTTTTTTTCATTTTTGGATTTTGTGTTGAAATGAATATTGGAAAAAACAGATAATGGCCGTTTCCCGTTTACGTGACTTTTGCGTCGCAGATGGACTGAACCAGGACTAAACCAGGACTAAACTGGGTCAAAACCAGGACTAAACCTGGACTAAACTGGTCTTGGTCCTGGTCTCAGTCCTGGTGTGAGGGTTTCTTTCTGCCTCTCCTACCCCTCCTTTCCCTGCTCCCTCTTCCCTTCTCTCACCTTATTTGGCTTTTCCTGGGCGGGTCCCCAATTCATCTCACCTGCTGAGCTCCACTCCTGATCCTCGTCAGTAATCATCTCCTGCAATAAAAGACCTGCTGACCTGCTCTCCAGTGCCCGATCGTTCCGTCAACCAAGTGGTGAACTACTCAGGCTTTTTGTGTTTTTGAGCATTTCGAAGGTTTTTGACTCTTATCTGTTTACTTTTGTCCGTTCCCCAGTTCAACCGTTTTGGAGCCGGCCTCATCCCGTTACCACCTGTTCCGCAAGCCTCTGGTCAGCCTCTTCACCATCGCACTTCAGCCAACCTGGACCCGTCCTACCTCCCCTGGAATCTATCCCCCTGTCCACGACTATTTTTTGTTAATAAATACTTTTGTTACTGCATATTTGGGTCCGACCAGTGATTCTTTAACACCTGGTCTAAACCAGGACTAAACCAGGACTAAACCAGGACTAAACCAGGACTAAACCAGGACTAAACCAGGACTAAACCAGGACTAAACTGGTCTCAGTCCTGGTCTCAGTCCTGGTCTCAGTCCTGGTCCTGGTCTCAGTCCGGTCTCAGTCCTGGTCCTGGTCTCAGTCTCTGGTCTCAGTCTCAGTCCTGTCTCAGTCCTGGTCTGGTCCTTGTCTGGTCTCGGTCTGGTTCCAGTTCCTGATCACACGACAGTCTACGCGGATGCAACTTCGGGTCCATCCAAACAGTCCTGGTTCAGTCCTGGTTTAGTCCTGATTCAGTCCTGGTTCCATCCTGGTTCAGTTTCCATGACTTAAACTGCGATGCCGGAAGTCTAAACCAGGACTAAACCAGGACTAAACTGGTATCAGTCCTGGTCTCAGTCCTGATCTTGTCCTGGTCTGGTCTCGGTCTAAGTCCTGGTCTCAGTCCCCGTCTCAGTCCTGGTCCTGGTCTCAGTCTGGTCCTGGTCTCGGTCCTGGTCTGGTCTCGCCCTGGTCTCAGTCCTGATCACCTGACAGTCTACATGGGCGCAACTCTGGGCCTGTCCCGATACTCCTGATTCAGTCCTGGTTCAGCCCTGATTTAGTCCTGGTTTGGTCCTGGTTCACAGTTTAACTCAAGGAAATGGGAAACAGCTATTATCTGTTTTTTTCCATTATTCATTTAAAAACAAAATTGAAAACTAAAAAAACTAATCGTTAACCGTTTTTTCATTTTGGTTTTGGAGACAAATAATGAAGAAAATAGTTGTTTTTTTGTTTTCTGATTTTTGGTTTTATTTTGAAAAATGAATGAACAAATGATACATGGACTGATTTCAGCCCTAGAGTTCCCAATCTCTACTGAATAAAAGTTAAAAGGTAAAGCTGATAACTTGAAAACTACCACTTCATGACATCACAAGGTGGAACAAAGCATTTTGAGCTTTGGAGATGTAAACAAACTAACGACAAAAGGTTACTCAGACATGCGTAAATGAAACAAAACACAACTCCAGATCTGTTTTTGAGGATGTAATATTATTCTAAAATGGCTTAAAGCTAGGGTGACCAGATTGGTAATAATAAAATTGCAAAACAAATGCATAATTAAGGAAATCTTTTATGCACTCGGCCCATTCATGACTAACACGTGTCAGTATAGTCACATTTTCTTTGTGTTTTGATCATTTTTAAGCAGCTTTTCTGTATTTTACCTAAAGAAATAATTTAGGGCATCTTTTAATTGTTGGTAGGTTTCAAATTGGTCAAAAATAGGGACACCTGGGACATTTCTTGTATAAAACTCACTAACAAATCAATGGTTTTGGATAAATCTGCTGGGACAGGGGACACAGGACTCAAAACTGGGACTGTCCTGGGTTAATAGGGACAGTGTTGGGAAGTTACTTTTAAAATGTATTCCCCTACAGATTACAGATTACATATCCCAAAATGTAGTTTGTAACATAATCCATTAAATTATTTAAAGTGAGTAATGTAATCTGAATACTTTGGATTACTTGATATTGTCATGCTTTTTAAAACTACATGGATGTAGCAACCACATCCTGAAAATTCTTGTTTGTTCTCTTCAAATTGTCTGTTGAGCCCAAGTCTCCATGAACAGACTTTTGTTTGCTGTAGAGAAGCAAATACTAGGAAATCTTAACATAAGATGTTTTGTCTGATAAAAGACAATAAAAAGCCTAGTCTTAACCAATTTAAAAATATTACTGATAGAGAAATGATTTCTATATGAGATCACTGCTGCCTTAAATTATGACCACCCTACTGTTAAGTGTCATTTAGTCCTGATTTTGTCCTAGTTTAGACCTGATTTAATCCTGGTTTTAGTCCTTGGTTTTAGTCCTGGTTTTAGTCCTGGTTTTAGTCCTGGTTTAATCCTGGTTTTAGTTCTGGTTTAGACCTGGTTTTAGTCATGGTTTAGTCCTGGTTTTAGACCTGATTTAGTCCTGGTTTAGACCTGATTTAGTCCTAGATTAGACCTGGTTTAATCCTGGTTTTAGTTGTGCTTTAGTTCTGGTTTTAGTCCTAGTTTAGACCTGGTTTTAGTCCTAGTTTAATCCTGGTTTTAGTTCTGGTTTTAGTCCTGGTTTTAGACCTGATTTAGTCCTAGTTTAATTAATACAGTTACTCATAATTTGTACTCTGATTACATAACGCCAGTACATGTAATCTGTTACTCCCCAACACTGAATAGGGACGTCTGGTCACACTACTTAAAGCTCACAAGAGTCTATTTTGAGTAATATAGACCCTTTAATGTAATTATGCTGAAAAGATGCTTATTTTTTCTAATCCAGTCTATAAATTAGACTTATTTGTCTGTGTAAAGCGCCACAATGTGCACATTATAACGCTGAACAGACACTGTCCTCTCTCGTCTCTCCTCTAGAGGCCTCTTGTCAATTAAAAGGACAAGTATATTCTGCACACTGAGAGATCTTCATTTCATGCATTCGTTAAGAATCTGTCTGATTATCACACATTTTACTTAATCGTAATTTAAACTGAGCACATTTTAACCATTGAACCTGCCCGTACTGGATTCAGTCTTTTCAAAACATTCATTATAATCCAGAAATGAAAACGGATGAGTCTGGAAGCTTCAGTCTGTACTTTTAATATTTCCACCAACCTGCTCAGAGACTGCTCACTGACAGTAGTAGTAGTAGTAGTAGTAGTAGTAGTAGGAGTAGGAGTAGTAGAAGTAGGGTAGTAGTAGTAGATGTTGTAGTAATAGTAGCAGTAGTAGTAGCAGTAGCAGTAAAAGCAGTAGCAGCAGTAGTAGTAGTAGTGGCAGCAGCAGCACTTGTAGTAGCAGTAGTAGTAGTAATAGTAGTAGTAGCAGTAGTAGTAGTAGGCCAGTAGTAGAAGTAGTAGTAGCAGAAGCAGTAGCAGCAGCAGTAGTAGCAGCAGTAGTAGTAGCAGTAGCACTTGTAGTAGCAGTAGTCATAGTAGTAGTAGCATAGTATTAATAATAGTTGGCTTAGTAGTAGTAGTAGTAGTAGTAAGTTAGTAGCAGTAATAATTGGCTAAGTAGTTGCAGTAGGAGTAGTAGTAGTAGTAGTAGTAGAAGTAGGATAGTAGTAGTAGTAGTAGTAATAGTAGCAGCAGCAGCAGTAGTAGTAGTAGTAGTAGTAGCAGTAAAAGCAGTAGCAGCAGTAGTAGTAGTAGAAGCAATAGCACTTGTAGTAGCAGTAGTAGCAATAGCAGTAGTAGTAGTAGTAGTAGCAGTAGTAGTAGCAGTCGCAGCTACAACAGTAGTAGTCATAGTAGCAGTAACAGTAGTAGCAGCAGTAGTAGCAGTAGCAATAGCATAACTAGTAGTAGTAGTACAAGTAGCAGTAGTAGTAGTAGTACTAGTAGGGTAATAGAAAAGGCCATAGCATTAGCAGAAGAAATGGTGTAATATTAATCGCTGTAGTAGTAGTAGTAGTAGCAGTAACAGCAGTATGTGGGTAGCAGTACTCATGAAAATACTTCAATGTGCAATACATGGTGAGTAATAGTATTATTATATTGTATTTTTTTGTTGCTGTAAGTCGCTTTCCTTCTAAAGAACTCCCGTAAGAAAACCATTTGAAGTGTAAATTAAACACACAGTAATAACAAGAGTCTCTTTGTATTTTTAATAGAAACCCAAGGGAGACCAGGTTGAACAGTGCATGTATACAGCCCCTTTTCTGCACGATGTCATCAGTGGAAGAAATGTCCCAAAAAAAAAAACATTACAGCCATTTTATCAATATTATACGGAGCCCAGATACAGCTCAAAAACACGTATCCGATGCACTGAATGTAACGAAAAACAAAGTAGTTGCACAACAAAATCTACCCCCTCTTAGGCCTGTCACGATAATTACAGTATAGATTTATGTATATAAATATATATATATATATATGTAAGTATGTAATATATAAAAGCTGGAATTATATGTTTTGGGGTTCAGTATTTATCATGGGAACTTTTTCTTTGCAATAATGGCGAGAATTTAGTTATTTTTTGTCATAATATGGTAAGATTTGAGCTGTAGATGGTAGAATAAGTCACCTTTATGGTTAAGTAATTATCAGATTGTTTAGAATCCAGAGAAAATGACGGCCAATAAGCTTTGTCGATATATTTTCGCCGATATCCAGGACCTATTTTGATTATTTTCTCCATGTTATGTCATTTAAATTTACTACAACTTCGCCGAAAGCACTTTTTATTTATCACAAACCTTTAAGAAAGCTGTGTAGTCTCACTTTTGGACTCATATTTTTGTAAAAAAAATTGTGTTTAAATAAAGCTTTGTGTGTATTTTTTAGGCAGCAGATATCGACTGAAATTAAATATCGATCTACGCTGGAGATTTAAAACTGCACTGTGTAACTTTTGTGGTGGAGGGGCCGTCAAATGCATTCCTCAGATGTTATTGTTTTGTCTGGAATGTTTCACAGTATGGCATTAAACCAAACCAAGTGTTACTGTTACAGGTCAGATCTGTGGAGAGGCGACCCCACTCACAGTCAGAATGCCAGTTTTTCAAGGTGTTTTTGAATTATAAAACCACGTGTAATTGAGCTGTTTAATGTCATACTGTGGAACATTCCAGGCAGAGCAATGACGTATCCATAGAAACAAGAAGGTGACAGACTCCCAACCAAAAAGTGACACAATGCACCTTTAAGGCTGATATCTGATATGCTCAGTGTTGGGAGGGTTACTTTTAAAATGTATTCCCCTACAGATTACAGATTACATACTCCAAAATGTAGTTTGTAACGTAATCCATTAAATTACTTTAAGGGGGGGTAATGTAATCTGAATACTTTGGATTACTTCATATTGTCATGCTTTTTAAAACTACATGGATGTAGCAACCACATCCTGAAAATTCTTGTTTGTTCTCTTCAAATTGTCTGTTGAGCCCAAGTCTCCATGAACAGACTTTTGTTTGCTGTAGAGAAGCAAAGACGAAGATGTTTTGTCTGCTAAAAGACACAAAAAGCCCAGTATTTCCTTAACCATATTAAACATATTACTGATAGAGAAATGGTTTAGACCTGGTTTAGACCTTGTTTAGTCCTGGTTTAGACCTGATTTATTCCTGGTTTAGACCTGGTTTAGACCTAGGTTTAGACCTGGTTTAGACCTGGTTTAGACCTGGTTTAGACCTGGTTTAGACCTGGTTTAGTCCTGGTTTAGACTTGGTTTAGGCCTGGTTTAGTCCTGGTTTAGTCCTGGTTTAGACCTGGTTTAATCCTGATTTAGACCTGGTTTAAACCTGGATTAGTCCTGGTTTAGACCTGGTTTAGTCCTGGTTTAGTCCTGGTTTAGACCTGGTTTAGACCTGGTTTAGTCCTGGTTTAGTCCTGGGTTAGATCTGGTTTAGACCCCGGTTTAGTCCTGGTTTAGCCCAAAATGTGAAAACAGGAAAATACCGCCATGTAATCCATTTAATTTTGACAAAGTAACTGTAATCCAATTACCACTCATTGAAACAGTAACTGTAACTGAATACAGTTACTCATAATTTGTACTCTGATTATGTAACTCTGGTACATGTAATCTGTTACTCCCCAACACTGGATATGTTAAAAAGCCCAAATATCGGCAAAATATATCAGCCAACCAATATATTGATCTATCCCTGCTGATTTTTAATGATACTATCTATGTAAAGATGCATTGCATAACATTTCTGGTGCTTAAACTTTTGGATCTCCATTAAAACACTTAAGTTACACCACCAGGCCAAGTTATGGGTCAGCTCTGTGGAGAGGCAGCCCACTCACAGCACAGATGCATGCTTTTTGAAATATTTCTGAGCAATAAAAATACCTGTAATTGAATCAGTGCAAGAGATAGATGACTTTAATGCCGTACTGTGGGACATTCTGGGCAAAGCTATAACATCTCCATGAGAAAAAGTTAAACAGTGCACCTTTAAAAACCGATTTAGTGGCATAAAGAAGTTTCAATAATATAATTTATCGCAATATTTCTCAATATATTAAGCTTCAGAATGTGTTATCGTGGCAGGCCTACCCCCTCTTTGCTTTAGCTGTCTTTGTAACTAACATGCGTTTTACTATTTCATTATTATTGCCTTTTGTTATTCCAAAAGTTCTTTTCATAATAGACTATATGTATATCTATAAAATATGTCTTCAATTTGTTCTCTATAACCTACTTTTTTGTCTTCTCTGCTCGGAAACATCACAAATAGTAGTACTTCGTTTTTATGCTACAACATTCCAGTTTACTTACAGTACAGGGCCCATTTTTGTCCCATTAATGTTTTTCGCTTGGCATTTTTGAATCATCACACGAGGAGGAGGAGCTGGCCGTGCCCTCCGCGGCGCCCCGGGGTGCTAATCCAGGACGGAGGACGGAGTGGGGCGCGCGCAGCAGTTGGGTCTTCTCACATTTTGTAGCATTGACCTGAAAAAATTCCCCTGCCTTCTCTTGCTCTTCCTGCGCTGGGGCGAGTCCGAAATAGACTTCCTTATAGACGCCTGCGCTATAAGTTTCCTCTCTTGCTCCTTGATTTTCGACTGGAGGTGGATCTGGATGGCGAAACCGAGCGATTCGGGGTCGACGGACGCGCCGTACACCTCCCATGTCATCCCCTGTTCGTCCCAAACTACATCTTGGACGCCTTTGTCTTTTTGTTTGTCTTCTTCGTCACTCTTTTTGCTCTCCTCTTTGCTTACCACCTCCTTGCTCGCCTCTTTGCTTGTTGACGCTTCAGCATTTCCGGACTGGGCACTGACCTTTCCTTTCTCTTGGGACCCCTCCGATTTAGAACTGGGCGCTTCAGCATTCGTCTCTTTTTGATTACCAGCTTCTTCTTTGTGTTTACTGTGTTCAATGTTGATTTGATAGACTGGCTGCGTGTTGCATAGAGGCGCCGCTGAACCGTCTTTAGGTTTGGCTCCCAGGTCGCCGCCGCTTTGCCGAGGACACAGCTCCGCCTCCACCGTCAGCTTATCCGAATCCGTCCCAAACTGGCCGGCGCTCACCCCCGCGTCTATGCTCGGACGTGGCGCGTAAGGGAGCAAGCTGGGGCTGGTGCATACGCCTCTCGTGCACGTGTGGGCGACGGCTTGGACCTCCATGTCGTGGCGCTGTGCGGGCGGCGCCGGCGGAGGTTCTGAGGTCATAGTGGACGCTTCGGTGTAGCGCTTGGGGGTCGGGGGTTGGGTCCGGTCCCACCTTCGCGGCCGCTGGGGGGCTCGGATCGCTGCTGGGTAACTGGTTCGTTGCGACGGCGGAGGTGATTTGCGAAGACGTAGTGGTGGTTTGTTGCGTGGAAGTTTTCGGAGTAGCTGTGGTTTCGGTTTTAGCTGTGACCGCAGATTCCACGTTTTGCTTCGGCGGCGATGAGATAAATTCGTCATGCGTTGCCATGTCTGTATCCCGTATATCCGTATTTCCGTTTTGACTAGACACATTTTTCCCCGCGCTAATTTGCGTTTTTACCTCTTCTGCGTCTTTTACCTTACAGTCATTGATCTGTGTATCCAACTTCATCTCTGTCGTGTTGGCGTTCGCATCCTTTACGACACACGACAGATCCGGTTGGTGTTCCTTTGCCCTCACGACGGCCTCCCCCGCGCTCCCGTTGGTGGGTTTGTCAGCGGCAACCGTGCCGGCCGTCCCATCCGATTTCGTCGCGCTTATTTTTGACGCGGTGATATTGGCGGTATCCATAGAAACGGTGTCCGATGTGCGATCCGGCGCGGCGAGGATGGGGTCTGGGCAGAGGGGCGTGAGGGCAGGTTCGTTGGCCCAGTTGGCGTTGGATTCCTTATTGCCCAGCGTGTCCACCGAGGCCAGCTGAGGAACCATCTGCACTGTCACTGTCCTCTTTGGGTTGGTGCCCATATTGGATTCAGTCTTTTCAAAAAGTTAATTATAATCCAGAAATGAAAACGGATGAGTCTGGTGGCCTCAGTTGCTGCTCCGTCTCCTATAAGAAGAAAATAGAAAAGAATGATTACACAGAGGAAGCATTATTTCAATTTACGCTATTTTTGGATCTATGTTAGAACGTTTCCTCTTCAAAAACAGACCTGGAGTTGTGTTTTGTTTCATTCACACATGTTTAATACACAAACAGTCCTAGTTCCACCTACAGGAAGTGCTCCACTGTGTTTTTAAACTCCATACACCTTCACTAGAATCATTTGGATAATTTCAGGAATTGGGCTACAACATCTACTTAACAAAAGGTAAAAGGCAGCTGTTTGGAGATATAGACAGACTAATAATGCAGGATTATTCAGCGTGTGAATGAAACAAAATGCAATTCAGAGTAATCAGTATCACTATCAATTTGGTCAATACTGAAACCACGATTATTCACAATTACACGATGCATTTATTCAGTATTTCTCTCTCTAAAAATAAAGCACTTTGTTATTGATAATTTGAGCAAATTGAAAATAAATATAGGCTCCAAAATGTACCTTAGAGCAGTTTTGCGATGTATAAAACGTAAAATGAATAAAATTTACTTTGAACATGAAATAAGGTATAGAAAAACATAAATGTATCCAAAATAAATTAATATCCAGCTGTTCTACAATCTGTATATTAAAAATTAAAATATACTTATTATTTAAAAAAATATTCCAACATAAACATTGTTAAGCTTTATAAATTGTTTGAACTCGATTATATGAGTTTGGAGATCGTTTGACACACAAATCTAAATTGTGATAAAAATTTTATCAGTTGCACAGCCTTAATTCTGGGTATGTTTTTGATGAGGTAACAACATTCTAACATGGCTTAAATACAGAAGCCGAGAGGGGTCACAACAAATGCAAATGCCGCAACAAATACAAATGCGACAACACAACAAAAAGCCACAACACACCAAAAAAAGCCACAACGGAAATGACCGCGGGACTCTATTTTCCACGGACCAATCAAGCGGCAAGTGAAGAAGAAGATCTACAACATGAAAAGTAAAGGAACCGAGAAGTTGGAAACGTAAGTAAAAGTAATTTATTGTTTTATCATTATTCGTTTCACGTTGTAGTTCTTCTTCTTCACTTGCCGCTTGATCGGTCCGTCGGAAAACAGACTCCCGCGGTCACTTCCGTTGTGGCTTTTTAATGTGTTGCGGCATTTGCGTTTGTGTTGCGGCGTTTGTATTTGTTGCGGCGTTTGCATTAAAATAGAGTCTCGCGGTCATTTCCGTTGTGGCTTTTTTTGTTGTGTTGTGGCTTTTTGTTGTGTTGTGGCTTTTGTTGGTTTGTTGTGGCTTTTTGTTGTGTTGTCGCATTTGTACTTGTTGCGGCGTTTGCGTTTGTTGTGACCCCTCTCGGCTTAGGTACTTAAAGGTGCACTGTGTAACTTTTCTCCTGTCCAGCACTTGATTGTATCGGTCAATGGAGATATGCTGGGGAGTTTGGAATGTACCACAGTATGGCATTAAACACCCTTATTATTGAATTATAGGTGATTTTTTTAACAGTAAAAAATACGGATTCTGCTGTAAGCGGGCCACCTTTCCACAAATCAAACTTGTAAATTGTTATGTTGCTTGTCACCATGAAGATAAATAAGTTTAATATCAAACTGTGAAAAATTCCAGGCCACGCAACAGCATCTCCATAGTGACCAGAAAAGTTACGCGATGCACCTTTAGCTCACAAGCGTCACTTTTCTTGAATATAACGTCAACACTAAATCTGCGGTTATGGCCCCTCCAACAATCACACAGTCACAGCGCATTCATTCTGTGTCATCTTTATTGGGCCATAATAAAGTTGCATTCATTACGATGGGTGATAAGTGCATTGCCCAAGAGCACAGCGGTAGTGTTATTTCTATACAGGGAGCAATCTTCCACCCCTCAGTTTAGTGGGAGGATATGCTGACACAAGTAGAACGGCTCGGTTTATGAGCAACAACTGGTTTTGTCTCACTGATTTCCATCATAAAAGATTCAAAAGATACAACCAATGCTTCGCCTCTCGAATACAACAAGAAAACAATCCAGATCTAAACTATTAATGAAGAATACGGAATTTAACCTGATGGATCAAGACTCAAATATGAACTGCTGGTATGAAATGTGAATAATTTAAGGTAGGCAGTTCCGCACTGCAAAGACCTAACCCTAACCCTAACCCTAGAACTAAATCAGAACTATACCAGAACTAAACCATGTCTAAAACCAGGACTAAATCAGGACTAAAAAAGGATTTAACCAGAACTAAACCATGTCTAAAACAGGTTTAAAACTACGATTAAATCAAGACTAAAACAGGATTTAACCAGGACTAACCCAAGACTGAACCAGGTCTAAACCAGGACTAAAACAGAATTTAACCAGAACTAAACCAGGTCCAAACCAGGTCTAAAACCAGGATTAAATCAAGACTAAAACAGGATTTAACCAGGACTAACCCAAGACTGAACCAGGTATAAACCATGTCTAAACCAGGACTAAAACAGGATTTAACCAGAACTAAACCAGGTCTAAACCAGGTTTAAAACCACGATTAAATCAAGACCAAAACAGGATTTAACCAGGACTAACCCAAGACTGAACCAGGTCTAAACCAGGACTAAAACTGGATTTAACCAGAACTAAACCAGGTCCAAACCAGGTCTAAAACCAGGATTAAATCAAGACTAAAACAGGATTTAACCAGGACTAACCCAAGACTGAACCAGGTATAAACCATGTCTAAACCAGGACTAAAACAGGATTTAACCAGAACTAAACCAGGTCTAAACCAGGTTTAAAACCACGATTAAATCAAGACTAAAAAAGGATTTAACCAGGACTAACCCAAGACTGAACCAGGTCTAAACCAGGCCTAAAACTGGATTTAACCAGAACTAAACCAGGTCCAAACCAGGTCTAAAACCAGGATTAAATCAAGACCAAAACAGGATTTAACCAGGACTAACCCAAGACTGAACCAGGTCTAAACCAGGACTAAAACTGGATTTAACCAGAACTAAACCAGGTCCAAACCAGGTCTAAAACCAGGATTAAATCAAAACTAAAACAGGATTTAACCAGGACTAAACCAAGTCTAAACAAGGTCAAAACTAAGACTAAATCAGGACTAAAACAGGATTTAACCAGAACTAAACCAGGCCCTGCTCCCGCCCGCTCCTGCAAAGAATTGTAATTTTCAGTCCCACTCCCGCCCGCATCTGTGATATTTTGTCCTGGTCCTGCCTGCATGTCCCGCAGGATGGGAACCTTTGCTTTCTTAAGCTCTATCAAACATGGAGAAAGGACTTGGGCTGCGTATGGGAGGAGACGCGGTGGGCGGTTCGGCAGCATGGTTATGTCCTGGCGAAATCCTGTTTCAGTCCTCGTTTTAGACCTGTTTTTAGACCTGGTTTAGCCCTTTTGAGCTTTAAGACATGTTACCTGATCAAAAACAGACCTGGAGTTGTGTTTTGTTTCATTCACATGTTTGAGTATTTCTTTATTATTAATCTGGCGACGTCTCCAAAGCTTAAAATGCTTTGATCCACCTTGTGATGTCCAGAGGCGGCGCGACCATTAGGCTAAAGTAGGCGACTGTCTTGGGCCCCCAAACCTGGAGGAGCCCCCAGCCAACTGCCCTCAGTGCCACTAATGGGCGAGGCTTCAAAGCAATTTAATTTTCTCTCAGTGTGACATTAAATAAGAGAAGTTTACTTTTATCGGCCATTTCAGTGTGTGTTTTCACTTTCATTTTTACTGTTCCTTGCATTTGCACCTCTACAAACACCTAGGTGTGCGTTTCCTGTTTCATTTGAGCTGTTTCCTTTCAAACAATAATCATAAGAAAAATAATAATAATCATATGTAATGGATGTAAACAAAAATGTAATTGTACTAGCAAAAAAAAATAAAAAAAAAAAATACAACTACTTCCAGTTCTGGTAATCTAGTAGGCGACCTAACTAATAAGACAAGTTTCAATCCAGCATAATTCAAATAAATAAAGATGTGCATGACTCAAGAACAATGGGGAAAACAGACAATAAATATATTAAAAAATAAAGCAAAAAAAGGTGCATTATTGTGAGGGCCCCAAACTCAAGTTCGCATACAGAACTAAAACTAAACCAGAACTAAAACCAGGATTAAACCAGGTCTAAACTAGGTCTAAACCTGGACTAAAGCAGGTCTAAAACCAGGTCTAAACCACATCTCAACTAAGTCTAAACCAGGTCTAAACTAGGTTCTATTCCAGGACTAAAACAGGATTTAACCAGAACTAAACCAGGTCTAAAACTAGGACTAAATCAGGACTAAAATGGGATTTAACCAAGACCCAACCATGACAACCAGGTCTAAACCAGATCTAAACTAGGACTAAACCAGGTCTAAACTAGGTCTAAACCAGGTCTAGACCAAGACTAAAACAAGATTTAACCAGGACTAAAACAAGATTTAACCAGGACTGAACCAGGTCTAAAACCAGATCTAAACCAAGACTGACCCAGGTCTAAACCCAGGACTGAACCAGGTCTAAATCAGGTCTAAACCAGGACTACACCACACCTAAACCAGGTCTAAACCAGATCTAAGCCAGGACTAAACCACATCTAAACCAGGTCTAAAACCAAGACTAAACCAGGACTAGCGCAAAAAAGGTTGGGGACCACTGTATTACCACATGACATCACAAGGTGGAAGGAACAGAGTATTTTCAGTTTGAGAGAAGAACTCAGCCTAAATATGCTGGAGTGTGAATGAATAAAAAACCCACAACTCCAGGTCTGTTTGTGATGAGGAAACATTATAACATAGATCAGAAAACAGCGTAATATGGAAAGTTTAAGATATAACAAATACAATCTTCTTTTGGGACATGCAGATTTCATTTAACCTTCTACCTGTTTCTTTTGCTGCAAAATGTTGACTTAACAAACCACAAAACATGTCCGTTAGTAAACAGAGTGGATGTGGTTTTAGTTTCTCTGCATGCCGTTTCCTGACATAACGCAATTATGCCACTCACACAATAACCCTAAAGCAGGATTTCCCCTCAAACCTATTCTAGACGTACAGCACTGTTAAAGCTGCATTGTGTAACTTTTCTGGTGGAGGGTCCATCAAACACTTTTCTCCCTGGAGATGTTATTGCTTTTTCTGGAATATTTCACAGTATCGTGTTAATCATTCATCGTATCTTGGTAAATGGTCACATTTTTCTATAGCGCTTTTCCACCTTCAAGGCACTCAAAGCTCTTTACAACAAGGAACAACTCACCCATTCACACACACACATTCACACACCAGACACTGTGGGCAAGGTGGGTTAAGTGTCTTGCCCAAGGACACAATGACAGCATTCATCTGTGGGAGCTGGAATCACACCAGCCAACCTGTGGGTCAGTGGATCTGACCGCTCAACCCGAGACCTGTTTAAGTCAAGAGCTGGATTCAAACCACCAACCTTCAGATCAGTGGGCGAATGCTCTACCAACTGAGCTACTGCCGAGCTCTTCATGGAGACCAAACCAGAGCAAGTTACAGGTCAGATCTGTGGAGAGGCGACCCCCGCTCACAGTCAGAATGTTTGTTTTTCTAGGTATTTTTGAGCTATAAAACCACCTGTAATTGAATAAATGTAAAGTAGAGATGTTTAATGTCACACTGTGGAACATTCCAGGCAGAGCAATGACACAGCAAAAACTGGAGGGTTAAAATTTTAGGGTAAAATATTTCTATATCTGTTGTTTTTAACACCAAAAGTGTTATTTTAACTATTTGAAAGTTAAATGGGGGTTTGAGTTGGGGTTATTTGTCAGAGTTGATGTGGTTGAGGTTAATTCAACTTCCAATAATGTTAATTCAGCTTCTCTTAGTGTTAATTCAACTTTCTTAGTGTTAATTCAACTTCTCTTAGTGTTAATTCAACTTTTCTTGGTGTTAATTTGACTGCTCCCATTCACCACTTCAAACTCTTGTGAGAGAAGACCAGTTTGAACCAGTTTTGTAAATAATTTCATCTTAAATAAAGTTAAAATTAAATAAAACACCTCTGTGTGTCTAAACCAGAATAACTCTACAAAGTGTTATCTGTTTACTCTCAAAACGTGAATATAACTCTTGATTTTGGGGTAAAACAGGAACTTTGGTCCAGTGTTACTTAATTAACATTTCCAAAAATGTTAAATTAACTCTAGAACAGATTGGACTCATATAAACTCTGAGAAAATGTTAAAGTTGATTCTGTGAGAGTCAAATTTAACACTCCATTTTTTGCTGTGGACATATTGGTTGATTAATTGATTGATTTTGGTCACAGGTATATTCTGACATTGTTTCACAGACAGTCATATTTAACATACACAGAACAAAAAGGTGTAGGCTGAAGCTTGAACTTTATTATGCCTACTAGGGATGTAACACTAACGGAAATATCGTGATATCGTATCGTCAAAGTTCTCACAATAATATCATGGACCATCACAATATATCGAATTACAAGTCTCTTTGCTTAAATTAAGGGTTATGGTGCAGCAATAACAGAGGGAACTACATAGACCATGATCCTCTGCTCCATTTCAGTGCAGACTATGAAGAAATAACAGTTCTAAGCACTTTTAAGTCTTAGTTCTTTGGATTAAATCTTGTCAAGGGATTTCAAGAGGAAAAAGTTAGCCTCCACAAAATATCGGAATAAATATCGTATCATCAGGTTCATACTGTGATGATATCGTATCGTGAGTCTTGGATATCGTTACAGTCCCAATGCCGACCTTTTATTCCTTTATCAGAGCGTCATCTTGACACCAGTTCATCTTCATAAATACAACAAGAGGAAACAAACAAATCAGAAACAGTACAACAAAGTACTACAGCACAAACTAAGTCTTATAATTCATGTATCTGTCCAGAGTTAAACATTTAAACTTGTTTATAAAGTGGAAGAGATTGGTGCACAATTTTAGGTTTTCTGTACAATTGTTCCAGAGATTCGTCGCCTTTAACAGATACACAAAAATTTCATGTTTGTTTTGATTTTATTTTTAATAACATGGCCGTATGTCTGAGCTCATACTGGCTATTTTGCATTTTGAACATAGTCTGTAATGATGTTGACAGGAGATTGTTGTTTACTTTGAACGAGATTTTCAAAGTGTAAAGGTCGACTAAATCATAACATTTCAAAGTTTGATATCCATAGAAACAAACAGGTGACGGAAAACTCTCCACCAGAAAAGTTACACAATGCACCTTTAACGAACACGAGTTACAATAAATACATGAAACATAGAACTTATTTATTCAAGCCTCTACAGCTCAGATCTGATCATGGCACAGAAAAATAACAAAAAGCTGTCTTCAGGTGCAAAAATGTTTAAATACTGACCCTGTTCCATCTATTGTGTATTGAATTTTAACACCTTAACGCTTGGATTTATACAGATATATATTTTAAAAAATGTTTCGTGTGTGTTTTTGTCTTGAAGTAGATGGTAAATTAAGTTGAGATTATTCATTTGACTATAGCAAAAAAAACAATAAATAGAAATTTGCATACATTGCCAAGCCAGTCAGCGAAGAGTCAGACATTCTGTGTTGTCAATGATTCCCGAGATCGAGGATTTAAAGCCGGAACAAAGAGAATGTTTGGTGAATTTTATCAAGGGGAAAGACGATATTGCCCTTCTTCCTACGGGATTTGGGAAAAATCTGTGGTGCATTACATACATCACGACCAAATAGCAGAGACTGGTTAAATAAAAAAAGAACGAATCCTAATGCTGCGAGGTCAGATGGTTTCTACAAAGTGAAACCAGCTGATGAATCAGACTAGCAGCCACTATCTCGGCTTATATCTTGATCCAAATGGTAAGGTGATATAGTAATTATCATGACAGGCCTATAGTTAAAGAAAAGTATCTCAAGAAATTCCTGATTAATCTGGTTTATTCTAAAATAAAATCTTGGAACAGTCCAGTTTGCCTTTTTTCTCCATTGTGCAGCAGAGTTTTCACCGTATAGAGCTGTTATCATCACTGGTTTAACTGTATACATATCCAAATCTCTCGGTACGATATTATCACGATATGCATCTCACGGTACCATATTTATTGCGATATTTTGAAGAGGCTGATATAATTGTAGACAGGCCACTTTTTTGCTTTTAAAATACCTTGACAAGATTTTGGTGATTATTATTTCCGTCATAATCCCAAGAATTCAAGTTAAAAACATATTTTTTCATGTTGTCTGCACTGAAATGAATCATGGGATATGTAGTTTCCAATGTTTATAAGCTGCTGCTACTATAAAACCATGCATTTAAGCAGAGGAACTTGTGATTCGATATAATGTGACAGCCCACGATATTATTGCGAGACTTTTAACCATACAATATCAAGATATTTCAGTTATTGTTAGAAGTCTAGACTGCTTATGTTGTACTTAAAGCATTGTTTTGGAACTTTTCTTGCCAGCATGTTTGTTTTTTTTTTTCATTTTGCTTGTGTGTATTGCACTGAAAAAGAATTAAAGGTAGTAGTCGTAGTAGTTTATTCGGTCATTTTGCAGCACTACAAAACAAAACATACACTACAACCCTATGGATCATGACCGAGAGGGTTTAGTCTGAAGTAAAAAGTACTTAATAATGCCAAACCCTATTAAACAATGACAGTATGCTGAAAAAAGCAGCTTGGAATACGCTATTTTCTTTGTTATAATGTTGTTTTAGCCTTAAATATTTTCAAACATACCTTTCTGCAGTCGCGTTTTGTTTCATCCACACATTCAAAAACACCTTGCTGTAGTTTCCGATATAGTTTTTGCACACTGCACCTTTTTCTTTTGTAGCTGTGCCAAACGTATTTATATAAACTGTATGTAGGCCTCTATATTTTACATTTGAGTCGCCTTTAATCCCAATAGCTGAGATCACACCAGCCAGCCCAGTGTGGCCAATAAATCATAGGCTAAAGATTGATCGCGTGTCACTGCATCTATTCCTCATTGTATAATTAGTGAGAAGCGAGCACCGTGTTTCAAAAAAGGAAAAAAAAAAAAAAAAAAAAACAACACCCAAACACAACACACTGAATATTACATTTGACCATTTCCCGTCTTGCTTCTTGTTGAGATTGACTTCTCTTTGTGCAAGCATCTAGGTCAACCTGGCACAAAGCGACAGCACAGACCCGAATTCTCTGCAACTTTAGTGCAGAACAAAATGGAATTGTAATGAGAACTTAATCATATATGCAAACACACACAGACAGACACACACAGAGGGACCAAAAAGCAGATCTGGGAGACAGCAACAGCGCATAATTCCGCGGGACCATTATTAATGAGCAATTCTACTCAACACAATCTGGATAGTTGCTTCTTTTTTTTTTATTTTCTCGAGCAGCCAGAGCGCACCAATCATGCTCCAATTGTCTACGGAACATTACGCATAAATGTGAGACCTGCAGTGGTTAGAAAAATGATCCAGTGTTGCCAAAAACCTGAACGAATCTGTGTTTATGATGATGTCTGTTTGGTGGGGCGCGCTACGTGTGTGCAGTCCTACTTTTTTTTTTTTTTTTTTTTTTAATCATGCGTTCGTCTGTTGTCAAAGAGTAAATATTTGTGGAAGAAAAACATCCGTAGCCCGTGATGAGACCTGTCCAGCTTTACCCAAACCGCCCCAGCTCCCGTGCTCTCTCCGGGAGCCTGCAGCGCGCTCTTAATGACACCGTCTGCGGATTCGCTCCAATGTATGTCATGTACAGTACGCACGGCTCGGTGAGAGATTTTGACGTGACCTTGCAGGCAAAAACGCGCAGGTGAAGCCAGAAAATACGCGTGAATGGCGAAAGGAAATCTTACCTTTTGAAGGGAGGACCGAGGGGCGCCACTACTTCAGTCCGTGTCCGTAAAAAAACGAAGGCTAACGAACGGGGCGAGAAAAAAAAAAAAAAAAAAAAAAAAAAAAGCGAAGCTGCTCTCAGAAAACCACGCCTTCTATCGCGATAAGGGTCCGTGGAGGTATCGATTCCTCATTTTCACATCCCGAGCTGCTTTGAATGAGAGAGATGAGAGACTCTGTGGCCACATATGAGTCACCGCTGTCCCGAACGTGTCCTTTTTACGCACGAAGAAAAAGCGCGCATAGACGAAACGTGTGAATGAAATGAGAGCTATACGGTGAGGAAAAGGGAGGTTGAGCCGTCTAGAGCGTGCAGTGCGGAGCAGGGATGCAGAGAAAAAAGAGAAAAGGAAACGAGGGTCACCACCAGCAGAACCCCAGATCGATTACTTATAAACCCAGCCGCTTGGATTGCGTCCTAAAGCGGTCGGCTCCAAGAAACGATATCATTTGTATTGGCGCGCGCCTTCGTTTGTGTCATTTAAGGACTGATTTATGGAGAGAGCGGGACTGCTGTGTACATTAGGAGACAACAGCGAGGATTTGTCATGGGATTTGGGGTGGAAGTGACAAAACACATACACGGGTTTTTCTTTCTCTCGCGCGCGTTTACGTTGAACAAAAGCGAGCGTTTCAAAATCATAAGCCTAGACAGTTTTTAATGTCCTTAAAGCCCCAGTATGTAACTTTTAAACATAAATTAAAATAAAAGCATGTTTGGTTTTTCATTTTGGTTGTGTGTATTGCACTGGAAAACAATTAAATGGCCCATACGACGCTAATTTTTTATGTTATAATGTTGTTTCCTCATCAAAAACATACCCGGAGTTTTGTTTAGTTTCATTCATATTTAACACAATAACCCGTCTGTATTATTTCCTCAAACAGCAAAAAAAAAAACAACAAAAAAACAAAAAACTGTGTTCCACCCTGTGATGTCATGTGGTTAATACAGGAAGTGCTCCACTGTGTTTTTAAACTCCACACACCTTAACTAGAATCTGGGGATGTAACAATAACTGAAATATCGTGATATCGTATCGTCAAAAGTCTCACAGTAATATCGTGGGGCATCTCAATATATTGAATAGGGGTGTGCAAAAATATTGAAAGATTGATCAATCAAACTTTATTTGTATAGCACTTTTCATACATTTGAAATGTAGCACAAAGTGCTTCACATGCAACAGAAACATTTTTAATACATTAATTAACACCCCCCCCCCATACCACAATTTAAACAGAAACATAAAAACTAAAAAACTAATAAACATAAAGCTCTTAAAAGTTATAGTAAAAATTAAAAGTGTATAGCTAAGACCAGATGGAGACAAAATAAAATATAGTAATGATAATTTAATTTAAAACTACCATAATAATCACAATAATAATGATAATTTAAGTTAAAACAGGTAAAAGTTTCAGTTAAAAGCTAAATTAAAAAGATATGTTTTAAGTTTACTTTAAAAAATATGAACACTCGCAGCGGACCTCAGATCCTCAGGCAGACTGTTCCACAGACGGGGCCGTAAAAGCTAAAAGATGCCTCACCGTGAGTTTTAGTTTGAACTCTTGGGACAGTTAAAAGAGACTACCTGAGGACCTGAGAGTCCGAGAGGGCTCATATGATAAAAGCAGATCAGATAAATAAATAGGACTAAGACCATTAAGAGCTTTATAAACCAATAAAAGAACTTTAAAATCTATCCTGAAGCTTTAAAAGTTACATACTGGGGATTGATATATTGTATAGTTTAATTTAATGATACAGTATCGATATCATGGGCTGCTGTATCGATATATCGCCAAGAGTATTTTTTTGGTGTTTTTTACTAAATTACAGCGCTACAGTTTTGAAATATATAATATCGACTTGAAAGCTCACTGTATCGGGGTATGTATCGTATTGGCAGCGTCTTACTGATACCCAGCCCTAATAGCGAATCACAAGTTCTTTTGCTTAAATGCATTACTTTATAGTAGCAATAGCTAATAAACACTGGGAACTACATATCCCATGATTCATTTCAGTGCAGACAACATGAAGAGATGTTTTTTACTTTAATTCAGAAATAATAATTCACACCAAAATCTTGTCAAGGTATTTTAAAAGCAAAAAAGCATCCTATTTACAATTATATCAGCCTCTCCAAAATATTGTAATAAATATTGTACAGAGAGATCTGGACATCTTTACATCTCTTCTAGAATCATTTGGATCATTTCAGCCCTGGAATTGCCAACCTCTACTGAAACAGAGCTTAAGGTAACGACATTATAAAGTGATTTAAAGCTCACAAGAACAGCTTTTGTGTAATATGAGACTGTTAAAAACACGCGTCCTTACTGTGAGCGGCTTCCATCTCCACAAACCTGACTCTTATTTGACGTGCAGGAGGCCTCTTCACGCTTGTTTCCATGGAAATATTGTTCCTTTGGCTATAATATTCTAGCCTAATTCATCAGCTGGTTTCAGTTTGTAGAAACCGTCTGACCTCGCAGCATTATGATTCATTCGCTCAACGTTAGGCGGATACTTTTTTTATTTAACCAATTGCTGCTATTTGGTCGTGATGTACGTAATGCACCAAATCCCGTAGGAAGAAGGGCAATAACATCTTCCCCCTTGATAAAATTCCCCAAATATTCTCTTTGTTCCAGCTTTAAATCCTCGCTCTCAGGAATTGTTGCTAACACAGAATGTATGTCTTCGTCTACATCCATCTCGACCTCTTTGTTTACTGTTGTGCTGTTCTACAAAAGGGACCCAGACAGGTGCTTGAGTTTGACGTCATGGCTCCACAGCTCTTCGGTGATTGGCTGGTGCGCGTCTACAACTTCCAGGGTTCTTGCAAACCATCTAGTGTATTCCGATTCCTAACCTAGTCGCTGGAGAGAAATAGTAATAGTATTTCAGAGTATGGCATAAATGTCCTATGTCCTGTCAATCATGGTATCATTATTACACTGTCTTCGGTTCACCTGTTGTATAAAGCTGAAATTTTATATTTTATTACTTATTTGTCTATTTTATTTGTTCATATACATTTATATAATTGTCTTATTTCACACCTGTCTCTTGCTATCTTTTTTCTACTTATTTAGAATTTATTATTACCATTTTTTTCCTTCCTTTTTGTTATTATATTATATTGTGATGTTTGAGCTGCTGTGTCCAAATAATTTCCCTTGTGGATCAATAAAGTTTGTCTAAGTCTAGGTCTAAATCTAAAACTTGAATGTGAAGAATGTTTTGAAATATGGGGCTTTAACTTTCTGTTTCCATGGAATTGTGCAGTTTGACTTTCTACCCCCAAGAATGTTAGTTATAAGAACATTTAAGAACATATTTTTGACACCAGGCTTTACATCTGCTTTCCGTTGCCTACACATAATTATCATAAAATCCATAAATCCATAACCATACACGCCGTTGCAGAAAACACAATTTATCTACTCCACGATGCATGTTCTGCCTGTTCTTAATGTGTGAAATTCTTGGTGCAAAACATATGTTGCTGTGACTGATCCTCTTTTTTCACATCTGGCTCGGGACTTAAGCTTCTTTCCTAATGTCTGAACGGATTCAAAAATACAAGTCAAATGAAATCTGTCTAGAAATGTTTGAAATAAACCATATATATGTAGTCAAATCTGCAATGCTGATGCTTTGGGTTGCGTGTTCGGACTTTAGAGAAGGCAAAACAGTATTGATTTTAAGCTCAAATTGGGCTTAAGTGCTTTAAAGTGGAAGGCTTCAACAATGCCATCAGTGGTATTAACATAGTCGCTAGTGGATTATTGTGGATTTTCTTCTTTTCTTTTCTTATCTTTCTTTTTTAAATTGCGATATTAGAGACAGTAAACCATAAAAGACATTAGACATTTTGACTTGACATGTTGAATTGTCAAAAATGCTGTCTTTTTTTTGGGTATCCTCGAAATAAAGCTATGAAATTTGGCATGGCCCGTGATCGCTTTCAGTCATTTTTGGGTCTCTACCTCAAGAGCTATAGCGCCACCACCTGGTCACAGTCGGACACGCGTTCACGTTTATAACGATCGACCCGTTTGCCCGATTTTTGCAAATGAGGTGTCCTTGGACTCCTTGGGCCAAAACAAGTTCAACATTTGACGTCATTTTCAGTCATACTGGATTTTACACCATTTTGGATGTATCTCCTCTCTCAAATTTTGTCCAATTTTCCCAAAACTCTGCCCACACAATCTTCAGACCAACTGTCACAAGAAACATTGAAAGGATTTTTAATTTAGTCCTTTGTTCTCTGGCAAACGGCCATCAGACTTTGATGTACGCTTTGACGTATTGACAACCAACTGTATAAATGGTCCCGTGTTTTGTGACCTTTGACCTCTAGGGAGTCGTTAAATTGCCAAAAATAGATGCTTAAGGAGATGTATATTGATCTGCTTGGATTAAAAAACAAATTTCATTGTGAATTCGTTACCGTAACTATAGTCTTGCCTATTCTACTGATACTGCAAGGCCTCCTCAATTTTGTTTGCTTCTTCTTTTCTTCCTCTTCTTTCATTACCCCTTTGTTATTTATTTATTTATTTATTTATTATTAGTGTCAGTACAGCTCAGGACAGTGGACTTTGTTCCTGGCGACACCTTGACCCTGAGAGGTGCTGATCAGGAATGCTCGTTCCATTTTTATTTATTTATTTTTTAATATGTGCTGTATACCACAAAATGTATTTATATTACAATATTTCTATGTTTATTTTTACTTGTACATCTACATTTAAATAGTTATTTCTTATTTGGCACCAGTCTCTTTTTATCTTTGCTGCTTATTTAGTATTTATTAGTACCATTTATATTTTTCTCTTTGTTATTATAATATATTGTGATGTGTGAGCTACTGTGTCCAAGTTATTTCCCTCGTGGCTCAATAAAGTTTGTCTAAGTCAAAGTCTAATCGAGTATAAACTACAGACAGTGATGGGAAGAATAAAACATTTAAAATGCTTTGAAAACTCATAGTGTAAAAAAAAACATGACATATAAT